TGTTTATGTGTGTGTGAATGTAAATCAGGGAAAGAGCTTAAATTTAGTTGTGTGTGTGTGCGTCTGCGTGTCATTTGTAAACGTGCGTGTTAGTGAGTAAGCATGTCTCGGAGACAGAAGGCGCCTTGTGCGTCGATGACACACCTGAGTGCCTTTAGTCCTGTTTGTTTGGGTCGTATGTTGTTTTTCCCGCGCCGTCTTTCAGAGGCGCTTGAGTCAGGCCTACGGCAGGTGGGACACCGCTCAACAGCTCTGTCTAAACAACTGGCCGGATGAAGTGGCTAACGCTAACTCAACAAACTGTCATTCTCTCACACACACATATACACACACACACACACACACCTACACACACACACAGACAGAACCCCGCCACCTCCGTGTCTTTCAACGCTTTCTCTCTCGGGGCTCAACAACAAAATTACAACACCCAGAGCACTTAGCTGAATGTTGCTGACAAATTTACACTACCTCTGAAACTCTCGTTTGTATGCATGTGGTTCGTCACAACAGTATGGTTTCTGGATATGATAATGCACATAACTACACATTTAAAATACAGTTGATTGTTTGTCAAGCAGTGTATATCAGGATAAGAGTGTTTTTTTTATAAATGTTCTAGGGAATGTCTTCATCCTCCTAGATGTCTGATTTCTTTCACAGATTTACAACAACCTCTTTGAGGCAGACAGGCGGTAGATGTTATGGAGCTACTGGGCTACCAAAAGGCTTTGGTAAACCCGCAATGGACAACAGCAGACATCTGGTAGAAACACAACCCCACCCAGCAGCAGCATAGCCAGAGAACAAGACACAAGAGAGGGATGAAGAGAAGAGGAGAGAAGAGGACGAATGGAAAATGCAGAACGGCTCAGAGAGCTCACAGGAAGTGCAAACAGACTTGAAAAAAGGACAGAAAGAGATGTGTACAAGTTGAGGGTGGTGTGAGCTGAAGGAGAGCATGTATACATGTACACAGTATAATGTTTAATGTTGTTCTAACCATGGTAAGGAAACTGCACTCCATCGCTCTCATGCTTAATCTTCCTCTCCTGCACACTGGCCAAATGGTGCTGCACTGAAAGGCCAAACAGGGGAGAAGGGAAGAGTTAACAATGGAAGAGGGGAGGAGAGAAAAAGACAGAGACAGAGAGAGAGATATGGAAAGAATGAGAGAGGAAGAAGGGTGGTTAAATAATTGGCAACAGGGGATTTCAACGTTATAGAGTGCAGCAAATAGTGTCTATAAAGTAGTTACATCATTACTCCTGGCAGTATTAAAATGGCAGCATGTGAGTGGGAGTGACGGTTAGAAATTAGAGAATACATGAACATTTTAACAAAATCCCCAAAGTCAAACCCAAGAGACATACATGAGGTCTATTGTAAATACATTTGACATGGTCTCCATCATAATGGTTATAAATGCTGTAAAAGTGGGTGGTTACACTGGTGCTGCTCTGCTGCAATATTCAAGAAGACAACACAGAGGGATTTGAATGTAAACTTACAGGTTGTCTAGGGAATAATGTGAAAAGAATAGATCAACATTTTGGTAACTGTCTTGCTGAGCGTTAGATGGAAATATTGACACCACTGACTGTATGCTAATTACGAAGCCACAGCCAGGACTTTAGTTAGCTTAAAGTTACCTTATATTGCTAGCCTGGCTCTGTCTGAAGGTAACAAACTGTTCCTAATAAACACGACTTCATCATCTACAGGTAGTTTCATCTGTATAAAAACCACATTGTAAAAATAATTAGCTGTTTTACGGCTGAAGCCAGAAGCCGCTTAGCTTAGCACCAAAACTGGAAAACAAGGGACACCAGCTCCCCTGGCTGTTAGGCTAGGTAACAAAATTAATAGTGTATTCCATTTGAACTGAGAAGTTGAAATTTCAATTGGAACGCCCCCTGAAGTCGGATTTCCAATTAGGAAAGTCAGAAGAACCTCACCAACCCCAAACTCAAAATCCAAGATGGCTGCTCTGCGCTTGAATAAAAACAGTTTATTAGCACTTCTGTCTTTTGTGTCTCATTAAATCAGTTGTACACACAGCACCGTCCAACTTTTGTTTGTGGACATGTTTGTATGAGCAAAATACAGCGTAATACGTTGCTATCAACTGTTATTGCTAACAATGGCTAATAGCTACCCTGGCGAAATGGTTGGTTTTAAGACTTGTTAGTTGGTTGGTTTTAACATACAGGTTAGTTGTTTCCACCTGTTTCCAGTCTTTGTGCTAAGCTAAGCTAAATGGCTGCTATCTGTAGCTTCATATTTCCTTTACAGACATGAGAGTGGTAGCAATCTTCTTATCTAACTCTCAGGAAAAAAAGCAACTAATTTCCCAAAATATCAAATTATTCCTTAAATATGTTCAGAGATAAACATATAAAGATCTCACTACACTAGCCTGGTGTATTGTTAGCTAAAGTCTAATGAGCAAAATAAAACACACACATTTAAACAAAATTCTATATAGCTTCTAAGATCTGTGTTATGTGGCATTGATAATGCCACATAACATGACATCACACTCTCACACATGCACACACACACAATCCAGGAGATAAACTCAATTAATAGCGCTAATACCATAAGAACTAACAGAGAACATTATATCCATCTCTGCCACTCTCACTGACACCTGAGACAACAAACACTAGGATAAAATAGTTGAATGTACTCAGTTTGTGGTCAGATTAAATGGTCAGTTCAGCCAAAATAGACACATATTGTCACACTTTCACACTAACAAGCATGGAGATAGTTTTGGTTTAATTTGCAGAGGTTTGGAGATATCCGTCAGTGAGACTTCTGACTCCACTCCATCACAAAAGAGGTGTGGCACTGATGTAAAAACATTGTATTGGAAAAACTTGACAGTAACGTGTCATTAGCACAGATTTTACAGGTTTTTTGGGGAAGGGGGGCTGAAAATAGTCCCCTATTAAAATTATTCTCAAAAACTTGGTGGTGAAACGTGGCATTTGAAAACCTCTCTGTATTGAAACAAATGATGGCCATCCACTGCTATCGTATTAGGATGGTTTCAGCAGGAATCTCAAAGCCTATGCAAATAAAACCAAAACTATCTGCATATTTAGGTGTAACAAACAAAACATGTTTTTATATGTGTTCTGGGTAAACTGTCCCTTTAAGTGGCTGCTGCACGTATAACCTATAACCTGGCCGTGGCATAATGATGGTCTCTCTACCTCAAACAGGCCTGTTCTGCTCGGTGGGGTTGGGGATAAAGGTTGTAAGTGGAGTGGAAGTTGTGAATGGAAGAGGGTGAGAAAGAGAGTCGGAATGATGAGGGGGTCAAGTGATGGAGAGAAGGGTCAACACAGTACAGAGGTAAAGGCTGTGTTGGTGGAAGGAGGTGAGCTGTGGCTTCTGGTCCATTTCAAGTCAGTTAGTGTGAAATTAACACCTGAAAATATTTGTATCAAAGGGCCCTGAAAACATATTTTCTCAATCAACTGTTACGACAAGCAAAGGCTCATATTTTTGGTGTTTTTCCTCTGGCTCCTCCCAATAGTTTGAAGTGGGTAGGACACATGCATCCATGAATCAATCAGGATTTAGCAACATTTCAAAATTTTGGAAAATACACTAGCCACACTAGCAGCTGGTTAGCTTAGCTTAGCATAAAGACTGGAACCGAGTGGAAATAACAAGCCTGCCTTTGTCTAAATCAACCTACCAGTGCCTCTGAAGTTATATGATGTTTGCTGAATCAGTGCAACAGCCTAAGATTCCAGAAAGTAAATGCACCTGGCCAAGAAATAGTCTTAGCCCCACCCCCTCGGAAACCACAATGTATTGTTTTACACTTTTTATACAGATTGAACAAACAGAAAAAAAGATACGACATGTTAGTTAGTGAGCTTTAGTGGTGCTGGTAGGTGGATTTTGTTAACTTTGTCGCGAGGCCAGTGGTTTCCAGTCTTTATGCTAAGCTAAGTTAATAAACTGCTGGCTGTAGCTTCATACTTAACGTACAAACAGCATGAGAGGGGTATCAATCTTCTTATCCAACTCTTAGCAGGAAAGCAAATTCCCCAAAATGTAAAACTATTCCTTTAACGTTAGCGAGAAACTAAATATGTTTTCAGTAGCTTTAAAATTTAATGTAAAGCCAGAGTCTAAAGCTGCTTCTATTACAGCCTTCACCAAAGTATTATATTAATTTTATCTATAAAATTGTAAAATTTTTGCTTTTGAATTGATGTGGACCTCAGCCCAGCTCCAGGAGAATCAGATGGCCAGGTTATAGCGGGAGTACCTGCATCCACATCATTAGGCCAACCGCTGGACTGAGAGCTGCTGCCAGCCGCCGGGGAACGGCCTGAGTAGAAGACATCATCCACCGGGCTCTCCATCTCACTGTCGTCAATGGACTTGCGCTTGTTGGAGCTGAGGGAAAAAGAAGAGAGGAGGCAGTTTGTTTAACTCCTGAAGAAGGAGAATTTCTTTTTATTTTGAGATTAATCCAATTATTTTTGTTTAAACTTGCATGTCAGCCTGTGCTACTAATGGGTATTCGGGGCTCTAATGAATGCACACATATCATTTGCATGTGTCTGCATGAAATCAAGAGTTATAAAAATTCTAAATGTCAAGGCTTCCTCCAATGTTTTGTTTTCATATTATGTTTTAGCCGGGGGGACAACACAACACAACTGGAGACAGCGAGACGAACATGGGGCCAGAATTTATTCAGCATGCTGGATCCATACTGGCCCGAAGCAGCCTCACGCTAGAAACCCAGCGCCGGAAAGTGTGCACGGTGATGCTGGAACGCATTTGTGCGTGTGTTTGCAGATTCTTATAGACTCATACATCTGTGAACAATAAAATTGAGGGGGTCGCGAACGTACAGCGTTTCACCACTGATCCAAAATGTTTAAATATGTGTGCGCTCATGTGCATATCTATGTGACAGCGTGCGTGTGTGGTTTTTGTGCAAGTGTGATGCGGGGTCTGTGTTACATTAGTATCGAGGGAGATACTGTAATGAGTGTAACTACCTCCGTGGGAGACTTGCATAAAGCTCCATTTCAGTCCTGCAGCGTGAGATGAGTGAGAGAGGACGACAGAGGGAGCAAGGGGGGTTACAGAGACAAAAGACACAAACACAGACAGAGTGACGGACAGATCGGTGGGAAAAATGAGAGGGAACGAGAAAGGATTAGTGGTTGACGAAGCAAAAAGGGGGAGAAAGGGGAAAGAAAGACCACAGCAGAGTAAGCTAAGCATACAGAATACAGCAGCGTTAAGAGGTTAAAGAATTAAGAAATGAAGAATATTAGTACAGAAGAAAAAGAACATTATGAGCGTGTCTTTTTGAGTGTGTGCATGTGTACCTGGTGGATGGGGTGGAGGTGATGGAACGCCGTCCCAGGGTCACCTGGTTGATGTTGTAGTAACCGGGGCTGTCCAGGTCAGCCAGGGAGAAGTTGGGGCCGGTCGCTGTAGCCACTGGGGCTGAGGAATGCACACGCGCACACACGCGCACACACACACACACAAAAACAAACATACACATCATAAAGGGGAGAATCACATCAGAAACATATACAGCCGTATACTGTAAAATAATCAATATATAAAATATTTCTGAAAGGATAAGGCTGGTGTTCTATGATTCATTTTGCTTTAATAACAGCAATGTTAGTCTGTTGGTTGGTCTGCCACCAGGTTGAAATAAGCTACTGGTTGGCTTGCCATCACAATTGTATAGATGGTCCTGGTCCCCAGAGGATGAATTCAAATGACTTTGGGGACTCTTTGTCCAGCACTACCAGCAGATCAAAATGTTCAGTTACCTTGTGAAATATCTTAACAACTACTGGACGGATTAGCACAACATGTTGTAAAGACATTCATGCAGATAATGCATCCTAATGACTTTTGTGACCACCTGACTTCTTCTCTAGTGCCACCATATGTTTTGAGTGAAAAATCTCGACAACTGCTGGATAGATAGCCATGACACATATTCATGACTGGATCAGGATGAATCGCAATAATTCCGGTGAGCAACTTACTTGTCTCATAGCGCCATCATCAGGAGCAGATTGATGTCTTGGTACTTATTTCCTGTTCTTTCCTGACACCAGACTGCTCCTGATTATGGTTTGTGACCATGTGTTTTCAGACTGGAACAATGCCTTTTTTTTGGAGTCACCTCACTCATACATGTTAAAGCTATAATTTGTAACATTTCCGAATTAAAATGTCTATAAACTCTAGCGCTATGTTCTATATGTAGTTGAGTTGTGTACTTCCATTATCCCAAATGTTTCCAGCAAAGTTCTAACTCTAGATTTGAACGATTGGAAGGATTTTATCATTTTTAGCTGTGGATTTAATACAAACTAGTGAGTATTTATGAGCAGGACAGTGAATGTGGGACTGAGTCAAAATAAACCACAGTGTTTGTGTTGATGGCTCATTCATTTGTTTTTGGATTAAGCTCTAAAGCACAGAGGAATAAGATATATCAAGCTTTGGACACAGACAAACACCAGTCTTATTAAACACCTGGTGTATCAGGGATCTTGCTGTGTGTAAGGTGTTATAACACTGTATGAAGTGTACTAGGACTGACAGGGACAGAGATTGACGGAGGAAATTATAGCTGTGACTCACTCTGTGACACGCGGACCAACTCGGCTACGTTCCACACCCCTGAAGTCACAAAGCAGTCCTGGAAACTCAAGTGGCCTGGGTAGAAGAGAGAGAGACAGAGAGGGGGGAGAACGCAGTATAGGAAAGAAGGGGAGTCAGAGAAGACAGACATAAAAAAGAAAAANNCATGTGCACACAGACACACACAGAGGGAGCTGAAAAACACATGTATGGAAAAGCTTAACACCCTGCCGGTGTCATCCAGTGGGAGCATGTGTTTTCTCTAAGATACAACAGGCCTGTTGGTTTGGACATGTTCATTGTTTTTTTTTGACTGTTGACAGTCCAACACACACAACCAATCAGGTCCAACAAGTGAGTATAATCTCCACATAGACAGCTGTGTAATGTATAATGCACTGTGTATGATGATATTTATGTATATATAATGCATATGCATATCGAACCACATATGGATGGGTATAATGATGCATAATGACAGGTGTCTGAGCAGTGATGCACACATACATACACACACACACACACACACATCACACACACACACACACACACACACCACACACACCACACACACACGACACACACAAAATTATATATATATATTATAGTATATATATTATATATATATATTAATATGTACTTCTATATTTAGAAGAACCTTCTATGGGCCCATTGATAACTGTTAACCTAAACCTTAAAAGGAAAATTCTGGTTTGGTATTTCATTTCACATCTTTTGGCCATTGACTCTGTCGGTTATGACTGCTCACTTAAAGTAACTGCTAAGAATATGGAGAAAACCATAGACAGCACTACAAAAAAAGTTGCCGTGTGCCGGACCAGAAAACATTGAGTTCCATTGTTAGACAGGTTGTAAAACAAACATTTTAATCAAAGCACTATTTTTTTGGAGGTGAAACCTAGCGTGAATGCAGCTGAAAGTTAACAATCACACCTTTTCACAGTCAGGAAAAACAGTGTGAACCTACAACTACGGCAAGCAAGATGGCAAAGGTCCATGTTTACAAAGAAAGCTTTGAAGCTGCATCTTCGTTTTAGCTGCTACTCAAACTTTTAAATGTTGCCCTAAACTATAAGACTAGCCTCACACCTAAATTATAAGCAGCTAATAATGTTTTCATTTATATTCACAAATAGGTCACATGATGCATCTTTTAATTGTGACTATTGTTTGGTTCACTCTTACCGTTCTCATTAAGCGGTTTTCAAAAAAGCTCTAAAAACCTCACTCTGAAATAACCTACCTGTACTAACTGGAGACAAAGTTAAGCACTAGCTAATGAACATAGCGTTATATAGCGTAAGTATTAAGCGGTTTAAAGAGCCAAGATATTTTCCTCAAGGAGCATTGGGGAGACAAAAAACATAATCTCTAATAACATGTGCACTGGCAAAACACCTTCAACTTCAGTTCAGTCCAGGAGCACTTTTGTAAAAGAAACTTTTATTTCCAAAGCAGAATGTTAACATTTGGCGGTATGGCTCTGTTCTGGGACCTCCCTGCCATTCCCATTTTGCATACATGGAAACATTTAAGACAGGAGAGCCAGCAGTAGAGACCCCCCAGGGGGGTACAGAACAGAGCAAGCAATCAGGCAATCAGAAAATGACATTGATTGAATGAATGATTGAATCAGATACACCATAAAAGGATGATCTGGGGTGGAGGTGGGTTGCAAAAAGTAATTTAACTACTTGAATCAGCATGCAAATATGAATGTAGTTGAACTACAAGAAAGCTACTCCAAAATGTTGTTAAAAAACTACCAGTTTAATTACCCCAACCCAGTTGGTAATGCACCTTTGTGACATTTAAATGCACATTATCATTTACATTATACTGTATTTCTTTATATCATAAGCCTAATTGTGCTATAATCACTCAATGTAGATATTATCATTATCATCATATACTGATTGTATATAGTGATCAGTTAACCAAATGAGTGTTCAAATGGAAGTTAATGGCTTTTGCCTTGGCAGGGTCAAAGGCACTAGCTTGAGCTCAGTAGTTAGCTAGAATTCATTTGGTTGGACAACAAAACAACTTTAAAGTCATTTTTCTTTGTTTGTCTGTAGAAAATGAGCACTTTAAAAATTTTATTTTTTACGGTGAAAAACTGTCAAACTATGTGAAAAACTGTCAAACTATGTGAAAAACTGTCAAACTATGTAAAAGACTGTAAACTCTAAATAGTTTAAATACAGTTTATGTAACAGTAAAATACTAAAATACTCAAGACACACATTCATATCTCATGGCAAAAATGTCTTTTATACAGCATTCATATGGTATTTTCAAATTTGTTTCTTTTGAAGGAAAAAACATGTATTATACGGTAAAATATGCAATAAAACTCCAACTTCACCCTTAAAATCAACAGTACTAATATCCTTATATATATTATACTGTTATAGTAGAAAGGTTATACTGTATTTATTACGGTAAGGTTCCGGCAACCACAGCAGGCGTTTTTTTACCGTCAAAAAAATTAATAAATTACAGAGTAGTTGGCTAAAATTTCCAAAAACAAATAATTGTCCAACTTTTCCAAAGCTGTTTTTCATAAAGGTAGAGGAACAAACGCACACACACAACTCAGTCTCAACATTGACATTCACAAAAGGAAGTGTACAGTGATCATGTTTGTGCTGACTTTGTGTGTACGCTGTTGTGAAGTTCTCTTAGCCTCTCCAAGTAAAGTCTGTTGTAACCCTAACCCTGCTCTATAATGTCCACATGTACAACACCCAGGTCTATGGGGTGTGTGTACAGTATAGAGGACACCCTAGGGTTGAGTAAACTTTAAGTCCACACTCTTCCTCCCTTCTTCAAATCATCCCTCTCTCTATCCCTTTTCTCTTCCCTGTTCTCTTCACCCCCTCACCTCTCACTTTCTTTTCAACACCCAGCTCCCACACCTCCTCTTCACTTTTCTTCCACTCGCAATCTCCCTCTCTCCTTCGCTTCCATCCCTGCCCAGGGTTAACCACAGCGGGGACAGCGCATGAGGTCAGTGCTGAGCTCGGCAGCGGCCATGTGGTTCCCATCTTCCAATAACGTCAGTGTGATTTATGAGTGGCCCGCCACAATCCCAGCACCACCCCCACGCTACAGTACCATCAGCTCTCCTTACCATAATAAACTCAGACCCAACTCTGCCGGGACACTCGCACACAGAGAGGCCTGTATGTAGGGGTAGTGTGCGGACACAGTATGTGCATGTGTGTTAGAGTCTGATTGCATGTAGGCACAGGTATGTCAGACATTTTTATGGCATGTGTGTGAATGGGACACAGTTGCAAACTTACCATTTGGTGGGGGCTTGACGTCTGTGTCTCCTTGCTGGTTTGAGTTGTCTGATTGTCCTGATTGTTCTGAAAGAAAGAAGGAGAGAGAAAGAGAGATGGTTAGTCAGGTGGACAGATGTCTGGACAATAACCAAAGGTGAGGGGGTAGGATAGCATCAGAGGGAAACTCGTCAGAAACTGGATGGAAAAAGGCGCCGTCTTTTATTCTTTCCACTTAAGACAGACAGACGTGGAACTGAGATTAAAGATTGGAGCATATTTCCGTTCAGGTTGAACCTCAGTTGAAAGTCGTAAAATGGCGAATCAGAAGGTTTGTATCCTTATGTCTGCAGTCTGTCGCTGTGGGAGAATTGTTCTTCAAACTTACTAGAAAAATCATCAAAGAACAATACTTGGTCTCTTTCACTTCATTTTTTCCCCCTTCTCTTTCAGGGACTCCCACCCTATCAAATGCACACACATACAATATTTTAGTTAAAGCTGCAGTAGGTAACTTTTATAAAAAGAAAAATCTTACACAGTATTTGCTGAAACTTTCACTATATCCTGACAGTAGTACATGACAGTAGTACATGAGACAGATAATCTGTAAAAAATATCAGGTTCCTCTGGCTCCTCCTAGTGCTCCTAATGGTATTTGTAAGAATCCACCGGGCCTGGATCAAAACAACCATTCAGAGCAAAGAAGGACAGACAGATGCTTTGGGTTGGAGTCCTGAAGATAGTTCATTTTTGAGTCTCATTCCCAGGGTCCTAAAGTGTGTTTGTATTTGACACCTCAGAAGGAGACTCAACAATAATCTTTTCTTTCTTCTCACGTGAAAATATAAGTTTACCTTAATAAAACACTTTTTCTCTCTATACCTTCTTCTTCAGGGAACTCCTAACATACACACTATTTTACTGATTCGTACTTGAGGTGTTCTTTAAAACATACACTTTTGGGTTCCAGGCATTGTTTGATTGCATCTCCTGGTGTGTGTTCTACCTCAACATCTATATAGGACAGGCCAGGCAGAGAGTCGCCTGCTTCAGCTTAGTTTCTGTTTGGCAATGCTGACTGCATTTCTTTCAGATGCGTAATGCAGCCTTGTGAGTTTTATGGTTGTAACATAATATATACATCTCAGCAATTTACTCCACAGCACTGAAGCTTTAAGGCCATTCCTGGGCCAAGTCTCGTAGCCAGAACGTGGCCCCCTTTGCAGCCAGAACTAGGCCCCCAACCTCCAACATCTTCTCAGCCCAAATCAGCGTCCTAATCTTGGGTGGTCATTAGTGGAAGACGTGCCAGCTAAGCTGCTGCACTATCACCTGTCTGTGGCGTTGCCAAAACTAAGAAACAAAAGAGACAAACACAGATCCTCATCCATCTGGTCAGAAAGAAGAGGGAAAGGCCCACCAGGGATAGAGTTTCATTTTTCTCGCAACACTCCATTCTGCAGACTAAGATTCATCTTTCTTCTTTTTTCCTCATTCTCTTAACACATCGTTCTGTCTCTACTCTCTTTCTCCTCTCGTGCTGTCCCTTGAATCCTGGCAGCCCATCTTAAGCGCCTTGCAGCCATCTTAGCTTTGGCGGTACCCATGGCATTCCTGCTAGCTGACGCACCCCCCCCCCCAAACACACACACACAAACAGACACACACATGCTTGCAAAGCACACTCTCCCTCACACACAGACCCAATGGTCTTAGAGATAAAAAGATCTACAGAGGATATGCAATGCAAATGGAGTGAGGGCAAAACCGCTGGGATGTTTGTGTGCAAGTCTTCAAGTGTTACAGAGGGTGAGTGAGTTTAATAAAAATGAGAGATAATCGCAGATGTCAGGCACTCTCATAAAAGTAAAAGGAAATAAAGGAATCATTCAATGCAAATAAGGTGATCATGTAAGATGCACCAAGAATAAACGATGCCCGAGGCCTTTCTTATCGCGGCAGAGCTCACCCCGACAATCCTGATCACGCAATTCACTATAATCACAAACCGTTAAAACCTTTTAAACCTGTATGCCTCTGAAAAATCTCTCTCTGTGACAGTTCCCAAGCCAAAATTCAGTGTCTAGTTGTCATGACAACAGGGATGGCACACCACAGTTAAAGTCCCTAATGATGAGTGGTTGTTGAAGCCTGTGTGTGCATATGTGTCGCTGTTTGGCCTGGCAATTAGTTCGAATGAAGATAATAATATAGCCCGCTGGCATGGGCTCAATGTGTTGTTTTGTTTAAGTAATTCTTGGCACTGAACAGACCGGCGGTCGCTGTGCTACACTATAACGAGGTTGACTTTTTACTCTATCAGTCTTTCTGCATTTTAAGGCGTTAAATCCACTCCGGTTACATTATCAACCACATTTTCAAACGAGGCTTTCATAACTTTTCTTGGCAGAATGTAAGCAGAGACCGACCCCTGCAATTTTTCAGTGGTATGCTGCACTCTCCTTCTCTACTGAAATTGTAAAAGATGGACATAATCACACAGTGCTTGAGAAGTGGTGTGATGAAGCTTAAGCTTTTTTAGTGCGTAGTTCCAATCGGTTATAAAGATAGAGTGATCCTACCCCTATGCGGTACAGTAACAGTAAAGTTGTGGGCCAAAAAACAAAAACAATGAGCTGAAAGATGTTAAATGGTCCACGGAGCTAAAGATAGCTGCGGATGATAATTTTATAAGCGACATCTGTCACTATGCTAGGTACGGGACAATATACAATATTATATTAAACAGGATGTGTGGAAATACTATAGATTTCAAAATAAAGAACAGGGTGATGAAGTTCCTATCTGTGATCCAATATGTGTTTCTTAACAAAATGCATAAGTATATTTTCATGATTATTGTGATAATATTGTGTATCGCCATTATTTTGACCAAGATAATTGTGACATGAATTGTCACATTATTGATTTGACCCATTTTTTTTGTACAACAACACTTATTTAAAAAGGTCCAGTGTGTAACATTTAGGAGGATCAATTGTCAGGAATAGAATATAATATTCATAGGTTTGTTTCATTAGTGAATAATTACCCGAATATGGCAATTGTTGTGTTTCTGTTACCTTAGAATGAGTTGTTTGTATCAACAGACAGGGGTTGCTTTCAATGGAGCCATGGAGTTTCTACGGTAGAGCAGAATGGACAAACCAAACACTAGCTCTAGATAGGGCCTTTTTGCATTTTTTGTACATTTTGCAGCCACCTTAGTTTCTCCCATCGACGGTAGCAGTGCTCAGTTAGTTGCAACTTCACCACTAGATGCCTCTAAATCCTACACACTGGTCCTTTAAGAGCTGCTTTAAGTTGCATGTGCCTCTTGGGTTTGCTGTGATATATGCTTTCAGACTATTGTGCCTAAGTAGCAGTTACAGTAGCAGTTCAAACTTGAAACTTCAAACCACCACTGAATCTCAGGATAGAAGAAGCAGTGTTGTCTTCTGCATCGCTGTCTTTCACGACACTGACAGCTCGGTGTTGATGGGAACTGCCACTGTGATTTTTAATATCTTTGCGATCAATACAAAAATCTGTCCATTAACCCCAGTGAGGCTGTTTACTGGTGAGGCTGGATGTAACCACATGAGCATTTATCAACATGCTGGTTCAAATGCTTACATATACATGCACCAAACATGGATATACATGTCTGTGAAGCACAAACATGCTCATGCACACACACATTTAAACACAGATGAGTCACCCTTATCTCCTCCACACAGGAGGCCAGGGGCACCCGCCCCGCCAGAGATAATACAGCATAGACACACACAGGCCATCAAATATACCACGCTATCGCTCTAATCACACACACACATATATATATAGACACAGAGCTTATTTTGTGTCTTGGTCAGTATACAGTCACTGCTGATACACTCCTGGAGTGTGTACAAAAAAGTTAACACTGTCTATACATTTATCACACTGCAGATGCAGACAGAGGCTAGTAACTCACACCCAGGCTAATGTACACACACTCAAAATCACACTTACTTAATCGCTCCATTCATCATACAGCACACACAAAAACAACACACCCACACATACACACAAGTGGAAATCATTAAGAGACACTTGAATGTAAGATTACATACACATGCTCGCTTAGTACAGAGGCAGCCATTGCCAGCGCTAATGGACTCATTTACCGTGCGCATATTCATATATGAGTGCACATCGCTCACACAGGCACTTTTTTTTTTTTGCTAATTTACCGAAAGGCTCAGAGTGTTTGTTTGTGCATCACAAGCACACATGAGCAAACAGGCACTCTGTAATCTAATGTGCACTAAGTGAAGGGGATTGTTCAGACTGATGACAGACTATAAAATCAACACCACCAGCCCAGCACTGGAGATAAAATATAACAGCTCAGGATGGAAAACCTGATGATGGTTGGAAGGAAGGTTTCAGTCGAGCATTTAGATGTTAATAAATACATTCTATTCTCAGAATTTAATTCAACTGTATTTGTATAGCGCCAATCTATAACAAAAGTTATCTTAGGACACTTTTCAAATAGAGCAGGTCTAGACCAGAATGGGAACTGATTATCATAAAAAAAGAAGGAAAAATTTTCAACAGCGAGGCATTTAGTATTATTTAGGCTCACACACAGGGCAGATATAGTTGGATGAAAGGTGGGTAAAATACACAACAGCTGTGCAAATGTAGCTAAAATATCTCTAAGTTTTGTGTGATTCTGCATTAGTGTGTCAGCTACTGCTGATAGTTTCCAATTTACTGTACAGACGTTAGAGCAGTATATTGATTTTCTTATCACACTCTTAATTAGAAAAAATAAAAAGTGTATTTTCTTTAAGTAGTAAGCAGTGAGAAGCTGGGCAGTGATTTTACGGCAGATACAAGGCACTGTAGTAATACACTACTGAAATGGTTCCCAACCTTTTTCCTTAAGGTATAAGGTGAATGTGACATGTAGTGTACAGCACATTGAGTGGTCAAAAGACTAGAAAGGCGCTCTATAAGTATTCAATTCAATTCAATTTTATTTGTTAGCGCCAATTCATAACAGAAGTATATCTCAGGACACTTTTCAAAAT